CCCCAAAACACAATTAGCTGAATTTAAAAAGCTTAACGTCTGTCCTGTACCTGGGTTCAACAACAAAACTAGACAGTGTATTAAAAAGCAAAGACATTACTTTGCCAACAAAGGTGCATATAGTCAAAGCTATGGGTTTGCCAGTAGTCACATATGGATGTGAGAGTTGAACTACAAAGAAGGCTGAGTGCCCAAAAGTCTGTTCTGCACATCTGTGTCTCTTTTTCTGTTTTGCATATAGGATTATCATTACCATCTTTCTAAATTCCATATATATGTGTTAGTATGCTGTAACGTTCTTTATCTTTCTGGCTTACTTCACTCTGTATAATGGGCTCCAGTTTCATCCATCTCATTAGAACTGATTCAAATGAATTCTTTTTAATGGCTGAGTAATATTCCATGGCTGATTCATGTCAATGTATGACAAAACCCACTTCAATATTATAAAGTAATTAGCCTCCAACTAATAAAAATAAATAAAAAAAGAAAAAGAAGGCTGAGTGCCAAAGAATTGATGCTTTCAAACTGCGGTTCTGGAGAAGACTCTTGAAAGTCCCTTGGACTGCAAGAAGATCAAACCAGTCAATTCTAAAGGAAATCAATCTCGAATATTCAATGGAAAGACTGATGGTGAAGCTGAAGCTCCAATACTTTGGCCACCTGGTGTGGAGACCCTGATGCTGGGCAAGAGTGAAGAACAGCAACCTGGGAGCATGGACACTTAGAGCATCTTTTTTTTTTTACATTCTATGACACATCTGCACACCTACATCCACTTCATAAGGATCATTTAAAAACATTTACCGTTTTTCTCTGACACCTCAAAAGGGGTACAAAAAAGTACATGAGCTACAGCCCTCACATTCACACACATTTCTGAGGCGCTCAGCTATGAGGTTGACGTTGAAATGATTATCTGGTTGCTGAACCAGAAGTGCTTGAGGGATCTTCTGGTCCAATCAAGTCTACCAGATGGTCAAGCACCAGATGGTCAAGCACAAGATCTCCTGGTGAGTTCCCAGAAGGGTTAGTGTCAGAGACAAACCTGTCAAGGCAGTGTTCTTGCTGTTAAACCATGTGACTTGTCGACCCTAAATCCTCATGATTTGACATAATTAAACAAACACAGTTTACCATATCAGGCATAATGGTACGTGAGGCTGGCAGACAAGTATATCTTGAGAACAGTTTTTGACGTGGATGAACTCTGGAGAGTTTTCCAGTTGGCTTCAAGCCATAAGAATGTCCTCTTCCTGGGGGCTATCAGGGACCTTGTTGGAAACATCTTCATTATACTTAGCTTGATACAGAAGATTCCTATTCCTGAAAGAAACATCAGCAACCTGATGGTGAGGGTTAAAACTCTTGCCCCTTGAGTGGCTGAATGTCTTCCTGTAAGATCCACCAAGGTGAAGATCAGGAAAGAGCTTAAAAGAGAAAATGAATAGTTTCTGTGTGGCAGGAATGTTCTCTTGTCAGGCGGCTAAGCCATCAGCAGAGAAGGTACAGTACTGGGCTAACACTTCATTGAAATACAATCATTTATGATTTACCTGGCTTGTCCTTGGCTTTGCAAGAGCAAGAGAGCATCTCTTAGGATTGTCACCAAGTCACCTTCCTGGACAGTAACAGAGCAACCTCTCACCTTGGATGGGGAGACAGTTGCTGGAGGTTGTTGGTGTGGCATACAGGGTGTGTTTGATGTGTGCAGTGCCAAGTGTGAGCACAGTGGTTATACTCTTGCTCAGGGTAAGGGTCCTCATTCTCCACCTCCCTGGGGGCTGGACGCAGGATCAGCACAGAGCCATCAATTCTTCAGCTCAGCAGTCACAACCTTTTGTGCTACTTGCAATATATCTAGAAACAGGAAGCATTTTTATCATAGACTAAGTATTTTTCCATAGAGGGGCAAGACCAGGTCCCCTCTACTTTGGGAGGCACTTAGGGAAACCTCAGAAGATGAGAGATTGAGTCAAAAACTGAATAACTCTTTGAGAGCAGAACCCTGGCACCCACACACAGCATGGTTGGAAATGCTGCTTCCCCTCTGATCATGATACCTGGGCAGATCCGGTACCCACCCAGGTGGTGGTCCAGCCCCTGGCCCCAGCCCCTTCTGAGCATCTTCTCTGAGACACACATGAACGTACGTCCCAATTGTTTTCTTCTCCAGGAAGGGCTATCTCTTTGAGGCAGAGCACAGCCCTCTCTGGGGAGGTGCATTGCCAGAGGTTATAAACATTGCCTTTTCTCCCTACAGCTGGTTTGAAGCTTTGGGGACACAAAGAATGCTCTGGCTTTGTCAAGCTTGTCTAGGGAGATGAAACAGGCACCCTTTGCCATGTGCTTGAAGTCACTTTTCCCAAATTTTTTTCTTGTTTTTCTTTTTGAAAAGTGAGAGATTGAAAAGAGGAAAGAAAAAAAAATTACCATCAAATTGTAAAAAAAAACTCGTGAGTGGATCACAGCCAGAAGTCTAAGCTGTAAGGGGTCCTGCTAGGCAGTGGAGGAGGGGGTGGTGCCGCCCAGGTCTGATTAGGATCGAGAACCCTAGAGAGGCTCCGCTTTCCCCATACTTGAAAAGTGATGACCTGGCCTCCATGGTTCCATGGATGCTGGAGGACACTCAGCGGGACGTTCCTCATGACCCAGAAGTCAGTGTGAGTGCCGTGTTCCCATCAGTTCCGTTGCTCTCCCTCCCCCATCCTGCCAGGCCCATGGGTGACACCGGGCAGCAGGGAGACCCTGGGCACCCAGGGGTTTTGCATCACAGCTGAGGAACCCTGAGCTTATGCAACCCCAATCATTTTTTCCCAATTCAACAAATATCTATAGGATGCCTACTATGGGCCAGCTTCTTCTGTTTTAAGAACTGGGGACACAATGAACAGAACAAAGAGTTCTGCCCTTGTGGAGCTGACGCTCCAATGGAACAAGACAGGAGTGATGAACAGTTAACCATGGTGAATAAGTAAAGGATGGAGGCAGCTGAAGATGCTAAAGAGATGGATAGAGAGGATAGAGGGCTTTCCTGGTGACTCAGTGGTAAAGAATCCGCCTGCAGTGCTGGAGACTGGGTTCGATCCCTGGGTCAGGAAGATCCCCTGGAGAAGGAAATGGCAACCCACTCCAGTATTCTTGCCTGGAGAATCCCATGGACAGATGAGCCTGGTGGGCTACAGTCCATGGAGTCATAAAGAGTCAGATACGACTTAAAACTTAAGACATTTAGGCTAATAAAGATGACCTCAGGAAGGCATTATAGATCAGACTAGAGATGGGCAGAGGTCCAGAGGAAAATGATCATTACTCTCAGTAATGGACAATGCACAGAGACCCCTTTAAGCTGGATCTCTTTGTAGATATTAATACCAGGCCTCATACACTACTACATATAAAATAGGTAACTGATGAGAATCTACTGTATAGCACACTCTATTCAATGCTCTGTGGTGACCTAAATAGGTAGGAGATCCAAAAAGGAGGGAATGTATATATACATATAACTGATTCACTTTGCTATACAGCAGAAACTACCAGAGCATGTAAAACAATTACACTCTAATAAACATTAAAAAAAAACAAAAACAAGAAACCAAGCCTCTACCTGAGAGATAGGGTGGACTTTTTGAAACAGTGCTTATGTGTCGAACTCATTTTAATGAGTGTTTTCCACTCATTTTAATGAGCATTTTCAAGGCAGTATTATTGAAAACAATCCATTCCAGAGACAGACGTGGTGTGAAATTTTTTATTTTTCTACAATTTGAGATAAATTTTTTTTTAAAGGCAAATTTCTAAGTTTGGGGGAATATAGTAAGTTTTAGGTTGATGAAAGATAGAGCTTTAATTTTTTCTTCCCAGAAAGTAACATTTCATTTCTTTGTATAAAAGACAGCAGTCTGTGAGAGTGTGAGGATGCAAACAATAAGCTGTCAACACGGATTAAAGTCTGAAGCCACAGCAAGAATACAACAATTCGCATCCAAGGAGTCACCTAATGTCAGGACCAGCAGGCGGTCCTGGCATGGTCCTTGACCTGCTCTGTAGATGCTCAGTGCTGCTGAATCTACGTAGGCAAATGGGCCTGCCTGGAAAAATAAGTGGAAGGAAGGAATGATGGAAAAGAAGGAGAGAAGGAGTGAAGGAAGGAAGGAAGGGAGGAACGGAAGGACAGAGGGAGGGACAACAGGAAAGAAATTCCTGAACATGTTCCCAAACGGCAATGGCTGGCACCAGCCTAAGGTGGTGGCTTTAGGGGAGCCTGTAGAGACTATAAAGGGAGGGAAGGTATTTGTGCAGTCTGCTACCTGGGCAACTGAGCAATCACCAGCATTTGACCAAGTTTTCTGGTCAATGCCTAACCTCTGACATGAGACCTAAGAGAGTCTGGAGCGGGGAATGTGTGTGTTGGGGGTTCTTTCTAAAGTGTACTATAAGAAGAAAATGGTTCATACTATTTAAGAGTATGGGTTCTGTTAGGATGAACCAAGAGGTAAATAATTTAAACTGAGAGGAAGGAAAAGAAAGTTAGATTTCATCAGAGCACCACTTACTCTTGGACTTGTTTTTTATGGGTGCAGAGGAGAGAGTTAGAGGAACAGACACTAAAATGTTCTACTGCACAATTAGATACCGGTCATGGTGGTGACAGGACAGGTCCCTGAGGGTTGGCCCACTCCTGCTCCAATAATCCTTCCTCCAGTGAGCTGGGGCCAACTGTGGGACTCTAGAGTGGGGGTCTGCAAACTTTTCCTATAAACAGTCAGATGGTGAACAGTTCCAGCTTTGCAGGCCGTACCATCCCTGTTGTAACTGCTCAACTCTGCTATCACGGCATGAAACATCCATAGACAAAATGCAGGCAGTGTGAATGATTGTCTTCCAATAAAACTCTATTTGTAAAAACAGCAGTGAGCTGGATTTGTCCTGCAGGTCACAGTTTGCTGACCCCTGGTCCAAACTGGAGGGCCAAGTATCATTGGAAGGTAGGGAGCAGAGCATGTGAGTATGCTCAGAATACCTGGCCAGCCCCTCATGAATACTCAGACTCACTGCATCTTCTGTGTTCTTTCCCCACTGTCCTGCAGAGATCAGAGTCTTGGAGTCTGCTCTAGTTTATTAAATTGGGTTCTGGGTCCAGCCCTGGTGTTTGTAAACTCAAGCCTCCCTAGGAAGGAGGATCCAGCGGTCAGTAGGAGACAAGAGAAGCAGACATCGAAATAAAGGCAGACCACCTTTCTTTTTTATTTCGCTTAGACAAAATGCAAAGAGTGTCTCATTAAATTAAAAAATAAACCAAAAAGAAAACCAAAACAAATTGATTCCCCCCACCCCTTCACTGACGGTACTCATTCTAAGTAACAGAAGGAGGTCGAATCAGGGACCCAGTTTCTAATGTGAAAGAAAGATGTGCAAACATGACTAACATTTCCCCGGCCCCCAAATCAAGGTTCCTTTTAAATTCACAAAGAGGGCTAATTTTTTTTTCCTGTTTTTTTTTTTTTTTTTTAATCTTGTGTGATAGAACTTCCGGTCAGAAGGTTGAATGAGTCCCCCATGCACTTTGTAGAAAATCAGTAAAAATGCAATAGCCCGTGAAGATCATAAAACTGGACTTCTTTCCCAAAAAATCAGATGCCCAGACAGATGGATCTCACACTCAGACAGAAAAAAAGCAGGAGAGTCTTTGCACTGTCTGTGGGTTTTTTTTTTTTTTTTTCAGCATTTTCTCTCTCTCTTTTTTTTAATATATTTTGGCAATTTTCTTTCATTATAAATATTGGAATTCCGTAAAAAAAAGGTAGCTTTGATTGACTTTGTTAAACCGTATTTACAGCCGCTGTCCAGTCATGCCGTTGGTTATACCAGGGTGTAGGATTTGGCGTAGGGATTGTTCCCTTTCAAATGGCCCCGTGAGTCCAGCAGCGATTCCTGGGAGCTGCTCATCTTGGCTGCCTGTCCCAGCTCTGCCCCCTCGCGCTGAGGTAATGTGGCCACAGCCCCCTGTTGCCACTGTTGTCCCTCCCTCGTGGAGGCCGTGGAGGAGGCCGCCTCCATGGGGATGGGCTCAAGGACCGGGGGGCGTTTCAGGGTCCGACTTTTCTGTGGCTCCAAGCACGCCTGCCCTAAGCTCGGGTCTCTGTTTGTGCCTGGACCACTTCGGTTCAACAAGAAGTCCATTCGAAGGTATGGAGGCAAGTGGATGAGGTCGCCTGGAAGGAAATGCAGAGGATTAGGTGGGCTCTTCAACTTGGTCTATAGATGCCTGGTGACCCTGTGCATATGTGATGGGCCACGCAGGGTTTAGAGGTGACTGTCACCACACCCTCTGGTTGCCTTTCCCAAGACTCCTGGTCAGAATTCCCACAAAGGCATCATCCTCACCTCCCCCCACCCCTCACCAGACACAGGAGAGCTGGCCTTTGCACAGCTTGCTGACTTTAGCCATAGAAGTCATAGTTACACCAGAGAAACAGAGATCTCAAGATACTTTGAAAGAGAAATTTAGGCGAAAGGCAGCAATGCACGCTGGGTATGAACAGTGACAGACCAAACCCTGGATACAGTGCTCAGGAGAGTGGGCAGGAGAGTGAGGGGCTTGGGGAGGGAGGCAGGGCTGCTGAGCAAAGAATGATGGTGTCTCAGCACCTCCATGGAATTATGTGACCTTGGCCATCATTTAGCTACTGGTTTCTATGATTGCTTTTGGTGGCAATCCCAGAGCACATGGCTTACCGGGCTTTGCCTGCCTGCTAAAATGCTTGTGTCTTTCTGTTTCACTCAGTGCCACGTAGACAGAGGAGAAAAGCTCATACTGAGTATCAGGGTTTCTACTTCCTCCTCAGGACCACTCACTTGGGCTTCTATGGTGCCAGGGAAACAACCCCCTTCAAGAGAACCTGCTGCAGGGAGAATCCAACTTCTCCCCCCTCCCTAGACACTGAGGTCACCTTCTGGGCTGCTTCCAGCACTGCCTGAGGCCACAGGTTCCCTTCATGACTAATCCTGCCGATTTGGGGTTTCCCAGTGAGAGGTTTGCTCAGGGCATCCCCATTGCCTGGCTGCAGCTGAGACTCTCCCTACCCACTTCCCCATTCCCCTCTCCTCTCACAGGTGTGACGCCTGCATCTTAGTCTGTGGACTCTCTTTGCCTGCTTCTGCTGTAACTGAGCAGGACCCTATGAGGCCTTCCTGCAACAGACCCTGGCTATATCCTCTGCCTGCCTCTTATTTGTAGAAAAACTTTAGCTTGAATGGCCTTGCCCAAATTCCAAAGAATAAATCTAGTCAGAGAAATAAAACGCAGAACAACAGTCAAGAACAACAGTCAAGCAAGACAAAATAATAACAATTTAGCCAAAGTAAAGGACCTTTACTTCTTCCTCAAGGGCTATACATAATATTTTCAGCCGTATCCTTTGAGTGGTTTTGCAGATTTGAAACCCCCATCAGGTTGAAGAGGTTAATTGTACACTGACCACAAGCACATAAATCCCTGACCAGTTAGAAGGTTGATGATGTTGACTTCCTGTGACCTCACCACCAACTACAGAAGAATGTCCAGAAGCTAATCATGCATCTAAAACTCTCTCCTCAGCATGTAGACCCTTCCTCTTTTTTCTGTATAATCTCTGAGCAAAACCTGTGGTTTGGGGATTTGGTTCTTCGAGACATGAGTCCACCTTCTCCCCAGGTTTGCCAGCTTCCTCAATAAAGCTATCTTTTCTTTAGCCAACGCCTGTCTGTTAGCATTGGATTCTTGAGCAGTGGGAAGCTGAACCTGAGCTTGGTAACACTGTTTCTTCTTTATCTGTTTATTCTTTGCAAGAATGCCTCCTGAAATCCCTTGCATATCTAATCTGCATTGGCATCTGCTTCTTAGAAAATCTGAACTGGCACAGCTACCATCACCATCAACTATAGCAACTGTTCTTTGAAAGTTGGACTGTGCCTCTAATTGTCACGTTCCATGGTTTCTTTTTAGCACCTCTTATCACTTCTTCTTCCTTCTATAGAACCTACAACATCTCATGCAGTTGATCTTTCTGTTCTCAGAACTCTCAGCTTCCATGTCACTGCGCTCTCCCAGAGCTCTTCTTGGACCTCTGACTGACACTTGTCAATCCTTTCCTGGACCCTGTCCTCCATCCATCCTCAAGTACAGGGTTTCTCCAGTGGCCTGAGCTCAGTCCTCTCTTTGGGGCTCAGCCTTCATCTAATCTCATTATGAATAGCTCTCATATCCATCATTTCCATTTTGCTCTCTCTCTCTCTCTCGAGCCCTAGACTTGAATTTTAGATGCTTTGTTAGATATTTCCACATGACTGTCCATTATGAATTTTAAATGCCACAGTCTATAAACCCAGTTTATGAAGGCCAGCCCCTATTCCCAGACTCATTTCCAAAGGCCACTTTCTCCTTTGCGCCCAATCGTTTTAAATGTCATCCTCATCTTACCAGAAATTGATGCTTGAAACCTCAGATATTGACACCTCCTTCTCCAGGTTAATTCTACTTGAAATTAATTCTACTTCTATCTGTTGATTCATTTTTGGTCCCATCTTCTTGACCCTGGTTCAAGTCTTTAATACATCTTGTAGGTTTTCTAAATGCATGAGCATGGTTTCAGTCCAGTCACTACACATGCTTTGCAAACTTCATCCTCCAGCTTTGAGCTGGACTGAAGCCTGGATCTGATCTGCTGGCAGTTTAGGAACAGTGTTCATTGTGTAGCCTAGTGCTTCCAATTGTTCTCACTTTGAGAAGCAGATAGACAAGGGGTATTTGTGCAACACACTGGGATGAGTGCAGTGGGCTTTCCCTGGCCACACTAGGGGTGAGAGGCTCACCTGTAACTCCTTCATGGCATACCTGGTGAGCAACTCTGGTTAGAAAATGGTCTGGGGGCAGGCAGTCCTGGAGCCGAGAGACCAGGTGGGAGAATGTACAGGTGAGGGAGCCATGATGGTGGGCTGAGCACCAGAGGGAAATGAGAGTGAATGAAATTGTGAAATGTGGAGGAGGCTCAAGGAGAGGGCTCTGGAAATGACCACAGGTGGGACAGGTGAAAACGGAGGAAGAGTCAGGGATGACTCCCTTCCAGGTGTCAAGATCAGGAAACCTGGGCGGACAGCAGGACCATTCATTCATTGCAAAGAACTGTCTAGGAGAAAAATCACATTTGGTGGGAAAAGATTGTGGGTTTTGTTTCAGACTTGCTGAGTTTTATGTGGGTGGGGACACTGCTGGGGAGATCTTAGTAATATATCTAAGGCATAAGTCATTCCTTAACTTTCTGAATCTAAAATAATTGGCAATTCTTGTTTCTTTTGCTTCAAAATATTCCCAACTTTCCATGCCTTCCTCAGCCAACCCCTTGGCAGGATTTTGGAGCCTCCTGTGTCCCGCAGGACTGCCGTGAGCTGGTTGTGGTGCTGACAAAGAAGTGAGTTAGTTAAGTTGCTCAGTCGTGTCTGACTCTTTGCGATCCTGTGGACTGTAGCCCACCAGGCTCCTCCGTCCATGGGATTCTCCAGGCAAGAATACTGGAGTGGGTTGCCATTTCCTTCTCTGACAAAGAAGTGAAGCTGTGTGCAATTAGACAGTGACTTAAACCCCAGGGGAGACTGGTGGGCTACAGTCCATAGAGTTGCAAAGAGTCAAACAAGACTGAACAGACATTCACAACTCCCCCCCACATGCTCCCAACACCTGCACACGTAAATCCCAGAATCTTTGAAATTGAGGTTTACTCACTGAAAGAGAAAAACCATTTAAACAGCAGGGAGAGACTGCTCAATGGTTAGGAGAACTAGAAACAAAAGCAAGACAGGCTGAAAAATTACTGGAAAATTCATTTTGCACAGTATAAATGAGCATAAGGATTTTCAAAATGCTTTGGCTTTTCTTAAGATTTTTTCCCCCAGGGTAAGAGACATGATGACCTTATTTCTGGGAAATTTTACCGAGTTGATTTCTGAGTCGTTGCATTACACTGTCATGTTATTTGGTATTTTTGAAGCAGGAATCCACTTAGCATTTTCCCATTGACTTTTTCAGGATCTCGTGAAGTGACAGTGAGTAATTATACATGATCTCATTAATATTTTTAGCCTGTATTCCACTAAAACAGCCCCAGCGACACCTTGGTTTTGGCTCACTGAAGTCAAGGTACTTTTAATTCAGTGCTAGCTTCATACAGTGAACTGGATCAAAGGAAAGTCCAATAATAAATTCTTGACAATAAATTGTCCACGACACTCTTAAAGAAAGAAGTGATGTAATTTGGCATTCTTGTGAAATGGGTTTTGGTGACTTGATGTATCTGGACTTTGACTTAGAAAAAATGGTGGCATGAATTTTACTGTTATAGACCCTAATGTTGAAGGTATATCTAGCTGTGTATCAGCTTTAGTCCTGAAAAATAAAACTACTTAATTAACAAAAAAATAAAACCATATGTCCTTAGTGCCTTTTTTGATGGTGGTATTGAAAATTCTCTGTCTTCTTTTATGGTTGTGGATGTATTATTCAACCTTTTCTATTGTGGGCTAATTATTTGTAAACAAATATCATGAAAGCATTAATAGAGCTGTCGTTAAAAACATAAACTGGAACAATTCCTTTGTAGCATGAAGAATATTTTTTTAACATGTGAATCAACATACTCTAATGAACTAATTTTGAAATTTTAATATACCCAATTTCCTGAAAGCGATCATCTGTCTTTATTCCAAGAGTCCAATAAACACATTGGATTCAACTGGCTCTTTTTACATAACTAATATTATTTTAAAAACAGTTTGTTCAAACGCTGAGAAATTGTGAAAGGCATTTACCTCCACATTTCTTTTAAAATGTAGGTCAAGAGTGCCTTATGCTGTTTCTGTGACCCAACTGAATCTCAAGTGCTTGGCATATTTGCAGTGCATTGTCACAGATTCAGGAATGGGTCTCCATCTCAGCAACTCCCCACTGAATGAACGGGGCTTATTAAATCCCTAAAAAGTATTAGCATCTTAGTCCCAGCCGGACTGTGGGATGCTCACGAGCTTGATTATGTGGAACGAATGTGTCTGAAATCAAAAGACAAAGCCCTTGACACCTGCCCCCTGCCTGCAGGGGTTCCCGCTTTAGATGGAGTGAAGAAGGTAGCTGGAAAAGAATGGTGAGAATTGGAAATCCTTCATAAAGAAAACAGCTCAGCACCAC